TGAAAGCTCTCTTCGGGAGTTGACGAAGAGCATCGCAAATTGAGTTCCAAAGTTTAGCTCCCAAGCTAGCAAAAGAGCAATGGCTGTGATTTAGTCTCGATGGATTAATATAAAAATTGCCGATAGAAGAGAACCTCGTATCATGATTATGCTTCTCAGTAGCTTTAATGAAAAGATTACAGATGTTAGTAGGTACAGTTTGACATGAGACGTCAAACATAATTGAAGAAACTGATTCAACGCATAACGAGCCTGCTATCCTGAGAGGAAATTACTACATCTATCAGAGAATTGGTAAGCGATAGACCCTTTACTTAGTGGGCAATATTGTAGGATGTCATTCTCCGTAACTAGAGCCAAGTGTTACTGCCAAAAGGCGTGTCCTTTCGTGGCCGCTTACAGCAAGGATTTCAAACGCTCGATCAGAGGAAGAGGTTTGAACTAATAAAGAACCAACAAAAATACAAGTTTACAAAACGCAGAAATATAAAACTGAAAGGTGGCTAAAGCGAACGCGATGAACATAATAACTAGGAACTTAATTACATTGTATCGGCGCTGTAGGCCGCGAAAAAAGGGCAACGAAACCAGATGTTCTCTCGGTGAAATCAACGATGAAACTAAAAAGCTAGAATATTACAACATGTAAATTATAGAGAACGCGGGAAAGAAAAACAAAACGTATTCCCGAGGGAATGCTAATAAACTGAAATAGAATGCAAAGAATGCTAAATTCTACACCAAGAATGGCTCTGAGAACAACTATGTTCCGCAAATAAGTTGATCTCATCGACAGCGTCTCAGCCAGAATATCAAAAGACGTGGCGTGGGAACAGTGAATTGACCTCCAGAAAATTGCCATTTAGGGTGCTGCGAACATCATTTAAAATGACATCTTCTATGCCCTTAAATTCCTTTTAAATTTTGGAAACAGCTTTGATTATGACTCTATATTGTCTGGTGTAAAAAATATGCAACCACTGGAACACAGACGATACTATCGATCTCTTGTTCTCCTTTTTAAATGTGTAAAAGTTAATGGGCCTGACTATATTTCAGATTTATATGAGCCTCGTATATTGCGCTACAGTTTAAGGAACAGCGATCACAATCTCACTTAACCGTCTTACAACAATCGATATTATCACAATTCCTTCACATATAAGTCTTCGCATATGTGAAATCAGCTTCCCTCTTATATTAAAGGATCAACCGATTTGAGCGACTTTCGCAAGCTTTTAAAATCCTTTGATCTATCAGTCTTAAGAGCCAGCTGCAAATGCAATTATTGTATATCTTAGGGTTCTACTAGTGTACGTTTCCTAGTTTTTTCATAAATTTACTGGGTCGCGGGTGGGTGCAGCTTTCTAAATTATCTTAATGTATCTGCCTGTATTACTCCTTAATTGTATCGCTTTTAACTTAATATTTTATTGTCATACGTTTTATACATGAGCCTCTGGCTCGGATGACCGAGGCAACCCCATCTTACGTTTTGACATTAATAAATTGATTGATTGATTGATCTGAATGAAATGAATTATTTTTTTCGCTTGTGAACCCTATGTCACGATGGATCCTGGATCATTGATTAGTTATTATGGTTTTTGTTGGTATATCGATTCACTGGGAAAAAGTGAAAAATCTAGGAATACTTGTATATGTATACTGGAGAAGAATAGTTGGAGTTCTAAGGAACATGTTTATGCGTATGATATCCATATTACGGGATTCACCTGATTTAGGGTAACAAAATACAATATCATTTGATGTTATGTGATCAATCGATCCTAACTGATATACTTTAATTTCCTTCGACATATCAAGTTTACTCACAACATCTAAACCAGCTGATACAATAAATCATCACTCGCTTTTAGTTTGTTAAATGGATTTTTATTTTATTATCCTTCCCATATCAAAGTTATTGACTGTTGAACAGATTAATTTTTCATATGTATCTTTGCATCTTGATATTAGATTGAGGTTCTTGCACTGGTAACCAGCCTTAAAGTATAGAAATGAGTCAAGTCTGGACCATAGTTATTTTTTCCTTCTGGAGCACCATCTTGGCTCGTTGCGCCGGGTTGGTAGAAAAAGTTACTTTCCTTTTGATTCAGTTGGCCACTCAAAGCCGATTGATGATACATTATAGTATCATTTTACAATTGGAAAGGCGAAGATAATGATGAAAAGCTATTCATGGCAAAGGAATTCAACAAAGTTTAAGTGCAAGACAGGCTAGAATACTTGATCCTTAACTTGAAATGAAACTTATCCTTAAAATGAAAGATCCTTAACTTGAGGCTACCACAAAAGCTTATCATCATGTGTAGAGTTTACTTTCATTTGCATCATGCATTACGGTTTCCTTGGGCTTGGTTGCTTTTTTAAAAGCGATTCAGTGTTGAATAAGAGAACACTCCGAAGTATAGAGTAAAAAAGGGTCAAGCACTTGACAGTTGTTGATAGTACGGTTTACGAAAATTTTTTACCCAGGTTAAACATTAAAAAATTCTTCCTTCATCCCTTGCCTTAATGATTAAGGCAAGAGATGAAGGAAGAATTTTGCTTTTTAATTTTGATTTTCTCCCCGACAAATTTTTCTAACGCGAAAACCTTTCGAACCAGCCATGCAAAAGTAAATTACACAGAGGCAGACAAAGCATGTAAATTAGACGATCTCAGAAGTCATCTTGCGAAAGTCCAAACCATCGAAGACCTTGAGTTGGCTAAAATATATCAAATACAACTGACGGCATCAAGTATTGGACGGGTCTCAATATCTGGTGAGTAGAATTTACCAAGGTGTAAATATGTGACTTTGTTTAGTCCTTCATCACAATTTGTGCGAGTGGTGGTTTGGTACTTAAAAGGATGAATACCTTTCAGCTTTCTTCTTTTGTTTGCGCGACTAAATTGACTCACTTTAGACATGTTTGTTTCAGGAATGTTACTTGGAAATGGAGTGATGGAAAGATGACTGATGAACAACTTGTGAAAATTGCAAAAAACTGCAATGACACTGATGCTTTGTCTAAGGAACCTAAGATGTTCTGTTATACCGTAACCCATGATGCTCTCCTGGGGTGTACTAACTATAGTGAGAAGCACGCCTTTCCGTGTGAAGATTTCCAAGGTGAGACGTAATCTTCATCAGAGTTCAGCAATTTTATTTGAAACGAAAGCAGTTCCCCTGGAAGATAAAACTTATGGATTGTTTTTGTATCTGCAGATAACTTTTGGAGGCACAAACATCAATGAGGAGTTACATGAGAAGCTAGGTTGTGCTATTGAATGAGATCTTCCTGCTTGTTTCTATTAATTTTAATGTTATGAGCACTGCTATCATTATCACTATTATAATTATAATTATTAATATAGTATTGTTTTACCTGAAAGCAGAAAATATCTTCCCTCAAGTGGATTCTAATTCAAGGTTGGTGTGCTTAACAATCCATTGAGGTGCTTTAGTCTCTCTTGCAAAATGATTCTCCTGTAAATTATTTCTTCTCGGTTGTATCAATTTGTTCATTCATTTATCCTCCTACATTTTATTCTTTTACATTATTTCGCATTATTTCCTTTTCACTACCTCTACATCTTTAGCTGTATTCCGGCATTTCCTCAATTGAACGCTTCTGCAAGAAACGCTTTCTGTATATTCTAGGAATATAAACGCGACTTTGCAAGGATACAATCACAAGTCTGTAGGTATATGGTAACCAAAGCACATTGGATTTTGGAGAATTTGAAACTGAGTCGTTGAAGGCTTATTTTGAATGGTTTGACATCTCAGAAAAATGCCAACCTATAATAAAAGATATATATTGTCGCTATCATTACCCACCGTGTGATGAAACACTGGGTGAACCTAAAGATCGAAAGATTTGTCGCAGCTCATGCGTGTATTTAATGGACGATGTTTGTAAAAAAGAAAAGGTTATTCTCAGAAAATCAGTGGAAACGTCCCCAGATGTCGCGTCAAAACTGATTAATTGCTCGTATTACATACCAGCATATGGTGGAGATGCCCCTGAGTGCTATGAGGGGCCTGATATCTCTGGTGAGTACTTCACAGTTATCTTTTAATCCTTTATCTTGGCACAAGTCACTATTCATCACTGTAACTTAGGGCGAGGAGGGGAGAGAGAGGTAGAGGGAGAGGGGTAGGGGAGAAGGGTAGGGAAGAGGGGTAGGGGAGAAGGGTAGGGGAGAGGGGTAGGGGGGAAGAGCTTTGGAGGATTTTATTTGCTTAATTGTGTCATCATAACATTTAACTGATCCGCTCAAAAGGCATAACATTCTTATGATCCCGTCCACTTTGACAGTTAATTTTCTGTCGTATGATTATTGTGTGATTATAATGATAATAATAATAATAATAATAATTATAATAATATTTAACGAGGGAGCCCAACTCGCCAGGGTGGTTTTCAGTGGGGGCCCTCATTAACTAATTAATTAAATTAATTAACTGATTACCTTAGTTGATTAAATAATAATAGTAATAATAATAATAACAAATAAAGAAATAAAATAACATGAGTATCAAAATAAATTGAAAAAGTCAAAATCTTAAAATCGATAACTGATTGAAATATCAAAGTTATGCTTCTTTACCCCAGTTAGTTCGAGGAAGGGGTAGACGAAGATCATTGGCACGTCTCGTGTTATATGAATGGACAGCTTTACTTTTGATAAAATTAATATTAAAATCAGTTTCCCCAACCAGACATTTGTGGATCGCAATGCAGCGATGAAAACCCTTCTTGCGGAGAGCGACTTGAGATCTAAACTCCTCATTGCTTCGGTTGACGAGCTTCGGGTGGGTGCCCCAGCAGAACTTTAGCAGCTTTATTCTGTAGGATCTGCAACTCTGACATTATAGTGTCATTATGTAAATGCGCCGCCAAATATGTAAATGCGCCGCACATGGCTGCACTCTTATCTCTCTGTAGTTAACTTAGCTTGCATCCTTTCCCTTGTCAATCAAAGAAATGGCTCTTAGTCGCTTAGTAAGACTTCCTAATGGACTGTCTAAGACCTTCTGGCCACGATACAGCGGTAAAAGAGCAGGACGTCTCGTCAAAGATAGAGGAAACGATCGTTACCAGTTGATCAGCGTTGCTCAACCACGGGATCCTAACCGTGTTGCTACACTAACAAGAATTCACCGTTCCCGAAACCCAGCGAACTTGACACCAGTCACCATATCCCCCGCAAGCCCAAAAGGAGGTTTGTCGTCGACCCATGTTCCATCTTTTTTGGTCTCAAATGTTATGTCCTTGGCTCCTAATATCGATGAATTACGCCATGTTGTTCTGAATGCAAATTTGGATTGTATTTGCATCGCAGAATCCTGGCTTCGGAGTTTTATTCATGACAACGTGGTTACTCTAGAGGGGTTTAATATTATTCGCAGGGACAGAGTCGAATCTGAACACGGCGGTGTTTGTATGTACATCAAGGATACGATCAATTTCACTGTTCTGGTTGAGTTACAAGAGCCATCTTTCGAAATGCTTTGGGTAAAACTTAGGCCGTTCCGTCTCCCAGGGGGATGTAATTTTATTGTTGTTGGGACGCTTTATCATCCGCAAAGCGTCAGTGACCCAGCAATAATGGAATATTTAATCAAGTGCTTATCAACCATTGAATCGTGCTATCCCAACTTTGGTATTCCGATTGCTGGGGATTTTAACAGATTGCAAATCACACACCTCCGTAATAATTTCCAGCTAAAGCAAATAGTCCATTTTCCAACGCGTGGCAGAAGGACACCTGATTCAGTCCTTACTAATATTTCTGAATATTATCAGGATCCCATTGAACGCCTGCCTTTCGGTTTATCTGACCATGCCTCAATTGAGCTCCAACCGAAAGAGAGAGCACATGTAAAGCAACCCACTATCACTATTAAGACGAGAGATTTGCACCCCAGTAAGCGCCAAGCAATGGGCACCTATTTGGATGCTGTGGATGTGAACACCTTGACTCGCGCCTTCAAAATGTGCGCCGAAAAGGTCTCGCTCCTGGAACAGATCATAAAAACAGGACTTGAACATATTCTTCTTATTCAATCCCGGAGGGTGCACTCTACTGAGCCCCCTTGGATCACATGTACACTTAAAGATCTTATTCAAGCACGCCAGCGCGCCCTTTCCCGTGGGGATAATCAACAGTCTCGGGAGCTAGGGAATCGCGTGAATCGCGAACGAAAAGCGTGTCGGGCTAAGTACTTTCAAGCGAAGGTGAAGCACTTGAAGGAGTGTAGGCCGTCCGCGTGGTGGGATGAAATAAAAAAGCTTAGCGGCTCTTCTCCGGCTTTCACGAAGAGATCTTACGTCACGAAGTCCCTGCGACACCTGTATGGGCCCTCAGATGACATCTTTCTTGCCAACACCATCAATAAGGCCTTTCTCTCGCCTATGCAGTGTTTCTCTCCGCTCCCTGCTGATTTTCTCATACTACCCTTTAAAAGTGCAACCCAACAACCTGCGCTTGTTGTATCAAACGAGTCGGTTTATAAGAAATTGACGAAACTGAACAGAAGAAAAGCGCATGGTCCTGATGGCATCCCAGGGTGGGTGTTGAAAGAAAATGCAGATTTACTGGCAGCGCCGATAGCAGATATTCTCAATTTATCTTATCGCGAAGGTCGTCTCCTTCATTCATGGAAAGAAGCGGATGTCGTGCCGGTGCCCAAGCAAAGACCTTTGCAGGACATAAACAAACACCTTCGACCCATCTCCCTGACTCCAATCTTGTCAAAGATAGCGGAGGAGTACGTTGTCGACACTTATGTTAAGCCCGCTGTCCTCTCAAAGATCGACCTATAGCAATTTGGAACGGTGCCTAAATCCAGGGCCACGCATGCATTAATTAGTATGATTCACTCTTGGGCGAAGTCAACGGATGGAAATGGATCGACTACGAGAGTTCTAATCTTTGACTTCCGGAAGGCATTTTATCTGATTGACCATCATGTTCTGGCGCGGAAGCTTTCCTCCTACGATATTCCAAGGTCGATTTTGTGCTGGATCATGGACTTTTTAACGAACCGTAAGCAAAGTATAAAACTGAGCCGCGATTGCTTCTCAGAGTGGGAGGCTGTTCCTACAGGGGTACCACAGGGGACGAAATTGGGCCCCTGGCTCTTCCTTATCATGATAAATAATCTTTCTGTAGCAGACACAACTGTTTGGAAATACGTTGATGACACCACTCTTGTCGAATCAGTATTGAAGAATGAGTCTAGTTACATGCAATTACGTGTAAATGAACTTGTAAGTCAGTCAGAAAAAGATGGTTTCCAATTCAATGAGTCTAAATGTAAAGAACTGAGAATATCATTCTCCAGATCAGGTAGTCTGTTTGATCATATTACTACCAATGACAAGTAAATCGAAGTTGTTTTATCCGCAAGGTTGTCAGGAGTGATAGTCTCGGACAACCTCAGGTGGAACGCACATGTAAAATCTTTATGCAAAAAGGCTGCGAAGCGTCTGTACTTCCTAAAACAGCTAAACAGCGCTAAAGTTCCATCTGAGGATCTGCAACTTTTCTATACAACATGTATACGCCCTGTATTAGAATATGCGTGCCCAGTTTTTCATTACATTGTTCAAATAGTTAGTTCTATTTTTAATCTCTATGGCTTAGAATGTATTACTTACTAACTTTAGTTTTGAGGGTCACTGGTTTATCAGCGCAACCTGTTATGTGTCTACCCTCTTTAAATAAAGTCGATTATTATTATTATTATTATTATTATTATTATTATTATTATGGAAAGGTTGCAAAAACGCGCGTTGCGGATGATTCAACCTGACTTATCCTACGCTGAGGCTCTAGTAGCTCTTGACATTGCGTCACTGTACGAGAGGAGGGAGATCTTGTGTGATGCTCTATTTGATCAGATTGTTAGGGAAGAAAACCACAAGCTCAATGATCTGCTACCTCCACGCAACGAGTCCACCTATTGCACCCGCAGCCAGAGATAGTTCAAGCTACCGATTTGTAAGACAAATAGGTTCAAAAACACCTTTATCATGGCGAACAGTTTTAATTATTAGTAGCTATTTCAATTATTTGTATTTTGGTTTCTGATACTTCTCTTATTGTATTTTATTGTAGATTACATTTCGCGGCTTTTGTTGTAGTTATCTTAGAGTAAGAGATAATCTATTCCCATTGTAAAGTAAGTCGTATTTCAGCCGGCCCGGGGGCTGCAATGATTTTACTCCCTAAAAAAAGCTATCTGATTATCATTATTCTTGTCCCCCCACATAACATCTCCGTGGTCAAAAAGAGGAAGGATTATGGTATTGTGCAAGGTAACTCTAGTTTGTAGTGGCAATACATTCCTGATTCTCCTGATTAAGCCAGATTCTCCTGATTAATCTTCATGCTGATAGCATGGACATGATCTGTACATGATATAGATTGGTTGAATGTCACGCCGAGGTACTTGAATGATTGTGTTCTCTCAATACAAGTGTCCTCTACTTTAGCCAAATATCTTGAATTTGATTCAGTTTCTGAGGACTTCCAAAGATAACAAAATTGCATTTGAATATATTTAGAGTTAGGAGAGCCACTCAGACACTGTTCGTAAATCAGCATTGATGTGATGTTCAAGTTGACTGACGTTTTTGGATGAGTAATAGATTACAGTATCGTCCGCGTAAAAAATAATTTCACTTGCCAGATGACAATCCGAAAGATCATAACGTAAATCAAAAACAGTAAAGGTCCCAATACACTGCCTTGGGGTACCCCGACAGGCATTTCGGTCACTGCAGAGTGAGCATCTCCAACCGATGTGATTTGTGACGTGTTTGTGAGATACGATCTAAACCACTGGGTGGTAGAACTGGTAAGACCGATGTTGGTAAGCTTTCGAAGTAGCAAGTGATGATCCACTGTATCAAAGGCCTTAGATAGGTCTAAAAAAAACGCACCTACAAAGGAACCAGCGTCCATATTCTCGAAGCGTACAAGCAAGTGGCTGCTGGATCTGTGGCGTCCGTGAAGGGAAGAATTGTCTCTCACAAGTATGTAGTCGTCGCAAAGTCTGACATTCACAGCGTATGAATGATCTCGTCGATATCGGGCTTATATCAGGAAGAAATAGAAGAATCTTCTCTGCTCATTGCTTAGGCTGTAAGACAGGTCTAGCTGAATCGTGCTCACACGTTGCCAGTGTTTTATTTTATATTAAATATTGGACTCGAATTAAGAAAAAGTTGGCCCGTACGCAAGTAAATTGCTCGTGGCCTCTTCCAACTTATGTAAGTAATGTTACCTATGCGAGGGAAAAATAATGATTTCTCTTCTGCTAAAAAGTTAAAAGAAAAACTTGACGATTTCATTGAATCGTTTGAATCAAACTCGAACTACATATAACAGAATGCAAACAATGCAGCCATTTAGCTATCCACAGAACACTACTAATACTAAATAATGCAACCTGTTGTTTACTACCCTTATAACCAGTATTTTGTGCTAGTTAATAAATTTCATTTTGCAGTTAAATTGTTTGCAATCTAAATGCAGGAGAAATCACTGAATTTTGTAAATACCAAAACATTTCTGTTGGTGTGAAATAACTGCGAAATCATCTACATTGATAGTTAGAATTGTATATTTTTGTCATAGAATCAACCATAGATAGGAATTTAAAGACCAATACTGCACTTTATTTTCATAAGAATATATTGACAATTTCTGAATTTTATAAATAACAAAACATGTCTTTTGGTGTCAAATAATGTGAAATCATTCACATTGATACATAGAATTGTACAATTTTGTCATAGAATTTACCAGAAATACGAATCTAAGCACAAATACTGCTCTTTATTTTTATAGGAATTATTGCCGTGTGAAATAATTTTGCAAAGCATTGAAAATAATATTTTGTTCCTGTTTCTAATATTATTTTGACAATGTGCAAGATGACTTTTACCATTTAAAATATATTTGATAAGAAAATTGAAAAATTTTGTTGTTGTTGTTGTTGCTTTCCAGTTATAACCACAATCACTATGAGCTTGATATTTGTTATCTTTAAAAATGCATGTACATCACAAATGTTCTCAATTTAAGTGATCAACACTTGTTTACATAAAAATTATCTGTTAACAAAATATTTATCTTTGCTCTTTTAGTTCACTTGATCAGCAGCTAAATAATTTTGTCCACTGGTTAGAATGGTTTTCATTAACCTCTGAAACAAAGTATGATGAGTGGAGTGTAAACATCAAAATAACACAAATAGAAGTAAGATGTATTACCCCAAAGTGTATTTAATCGATTGATGAAAACCATTCTACTAATAGATATCAATAATTAGTTCCTGTAGTATGTTGAAATTAATCAAGCTGTACAAAATTGTATTTAGGTATCTGCCCAGAGCATAGGTCATTAGAAGTGGTTGGTCCCTAATATGTTACAAAGTTCTTGCACTACCCTTGTGAAAATATCTTCCAGGATCCCGAGCAGGATTCTGTCCAGGATTAGGATCCACATTTATCAAATAATCAAGGATTCGATATCCTGTAGGATTCTGGGAAACATTTCCATCAGGGTATCATTTTAGAAAACAAAAAAATTCATTTAAAAACTAGCTAAGCAATTGTTACTATTGATGGACAAAAATTTACAAGGGCTGAACAAACTCTTAAAATACGATCAATCATCGGTACCTGGTTCTTTTTGGGACCATTTGGGTCACAACTCAAGAATTTAGTTGGGAGTATTCTTTCTAATATAGTGCATTTCGTTCGTAGTAAACCTCTCACTCGCTCCACATAGATCCTAACATTGGCTATACCTCTTGAGCACTCTATATCTACTGAGTCTAGTTGAGCTTTTCCTTTGGTGAATGCAGGAATCACTAGCTCTCTTTGCTTTAACCCAACACTCTTAGAAATTGTAAATCCTCTATCTGCTATTACAGTTAAGAATTAACAGTATCAATTGTCCGGGTCGGACACATATAGCGGCGTCGATGTCGAATAACAACAGCTCATTAAACCAACGAACTTAATGACGTCGAAGAATTCCAATGTTTACAAAAGCATCCGGTCGCCCTTTCATCATAAATTACGAAACTCAGGGAGCCGTAAAAACCACATGATGAAAGGCGGTAAACGAAAGAAAAGAAACAGTTTCACGTACCTAAATTGTTTACAAGCGCTTCACCACGTGCGTTAAAAAAGGGTACAAAAACAAAAATTACTACTGAAGGATTGTGGTCTACGTGACGTACAAAAAAGTGTAGAACGGAACGGACTAACATAAAACCTTGTTGAGGAATAGCCTCAACATCAATCATTCAGAACCAATTTAAGCAGGTATAGGAAATTTCCATGTAAAACTTTTAAAATACAGAAAACGATGAAACGAAAACAGAAAACAGAATATACGACAAGGAAAAAATAAAATAACGGAACGATGAAAACTTACACGGATGGTGCTGCGATGAATGATAAACTGACAAACTGAGGTGATAAATTAAGGTGAAACCTACCGAAACTAAAAAATGCAACACACGAGCTGTGAACCGAACGAGCCTGGGAAATTAAACTGACCGAGTGATTCCCAGGGCCCATTGACAAAAAAGGCGGCAAAACCCGTAACACTCCTCGCCCAAGGACAACGTCCTTGCTACTTGAACATCCTACTTAACATAGTTACGGTCCTTAACGTCCTGAGACTGTAAGATTAGGACGAGTTCGCCTATAGGACGTAGGTAAGTCTTCCGTACTCCCTCTTTGCAAATCAATACATTTGCTTTTCTAACTTCTCTGTCTTCACTGGTAATAGCTTCGGCGACCCTTGTGAGTTGCCAGTCGTTCCGGTGGGCTTCCTTGTCTCTCACCAAAACTATATCTCCAGCTGTTAGGTTGCGTTCTCGCTTGTTCCACTTGGGTCTCCTCTGCAGGGACTGGAGATATTCCCGTCGTCAACGCACCATTGGTCTACTAAATATTGTACTCTTCTCCAGCGGCGACGTGCATAAAGGTCTTGTGGAACGAAATTCCCGGGAGGTGGGAGAAGCGGGCAATATTTCAATGTTAACAGCATTGAAGGTGATAGGGGCTGTGGGTCTTCGACGTCGGATGGGACAGTAGCGATAGGACGGGCGTTCACTATAGCAGAAACCTCGGCTAGCAAACGTAACGAGCAGTTCATGGGTAAGTTGAGGGTTCCCAAGCTCTAGGAGCATAGCGTCCAGGACACGACAGATTGTGCCGATCTGACGTTCCCAGACTCCCCCAGAATGGGAAGCATGGGGTGGATTAAAGGACCATTCACAGCCATGGTTAGCAAGATAGGTCTTCAGTGCTCCCTCGTCCATCTCTTGAAATGCTTGATCAAACTCAGATTTAGCTCCGATGAAGTTTGAGCCACAGTCACATCTTATTCTAGCGGTGGGTCCACGGATGGATAGGAAACGACGAAGTGCACAAATGAATGCACTTGTATCCATAGACTCCAGAACTTCTATGTGTATGGCACGACTGTTTGAACGAGAGAAGACTAGTCCCCAGCGTTTGGAGTTTGCAACGCCTCCTCTGAGCTTCTGTCTTTATTTACCATGGTCCGAAGACATCACATCCGACGTTAGTGAAAGGACGTGGGGTTTCGGTCCTGTCGGAGGGAAGGTCCGCCATGTGTTGGATGAGTATTGTTCCCCTAAGCCTCCTACATATGACGCAGGAACTGATGACTTTCGACAACTCCCCATGGCCACCAGTGACCCAGAAGCCGGCTGTGCGCACTGCTCCGTGAGTTATATGTCGACCTTGATGATGTGTTTTCTCATGTTGGTGCCGAACGATTAGCCGAGACAAATGATGCCCTTTCGGGAGAAGGAAAGGATGCTTCTCGAGGAAACTGAGATGAGAGCGACGAAGGCGACCACCAACTCTAAGTACTCCTTCGGTATCCCCGAACGGGTCTAAGCTGTAAAGGCTTGACTTCTTTAACAGGTTCTTCCTTTGTCGGGAACGATCTCGACCTTCGGTCCTCTCCGCTCCTTCGAGCAATTTTATTTCGTCTGCGAAACACTCATTCTGAACGGTCCTAATCATTACCATCTCTGCTTGCATCAACTCCGTTGCTGAAGGGGGACGTGGGATTCGTTTGGGCAGTTTTTCTGACGGGACACGATTGTCTGTTCTGTTGGTCCGGTGCTTGGGTATGTGATCTGCGCTTGCTGCTTTACGCTCTTTCACCATGACAATTAAGTTGGCTAGGGCTCGTCGCAGAGACGTGAAACTGGAAAAACGACTGAATCTTTCAGCACCCAGTCCCGGTATTGTAACTACATCTGTGGTATAGGTAATTACTTGACTTCTGACCTCTGGATCTTGCAGGTCTAAGGCGATTGATTGATTGATTGCTTCAACGGTAGAAAGGGGATTGGGTGAGGCTTCCCTCAGGAACTCTGGGCCACGTAGCCATCTTGAGTCTTTCAAATGTTCTGCGGCTACTCCCCTGGTTACGAGATCCGCAGGATTCGAGGTGGTCCCAACATATCTCCATTGCGTTGGGTCGGAGATGCTTCTAATGACTTAAACGCGATTGGCGACATACACGTAGAAGCGCCTGCTGTCATTCTGTATGTAACCAAGCGCAACCTTAGAGTCTGTGTAAAAAACGACTTCATGGATAGGTAGATTCAATTCTTCTAACAGCTTCTTCACTGACTGGGAGGACAAAACAGCGCTGCAAAGTTCAAGTCCAGGAATTGTTGTCGGTTGCAAGGGAGCCATCCTGGCTTGACCAAACAGGAGTGCAACGTTAACGTTTCCTGACTCACTGACTTGGCGAAGGTAGGTGACGACACCAATCCCGTTTTTACATGCATCTGAGAATGAATGAATTTCCGAACGTAAAACGCAGCCGAAATCCTTGGGGTGATAACATCTAGGAATTGACACAGTTTTTAAGTTGACGAGAGCGTCTCTCCAAGACTGCCACTGACGCATCAATTCGTCAGGTAATGGGTCGTCCCAGCCAAGAGGGGTGTCACTGCCTTTTTACCCCATGATCACTAGCTGACGAAGGAGAAGTTTTCCATTCAAGATAACTGGGGCAGCTAGGCCCAGTGGGTCATAAACTGAGTTTATGGTGGCAAGGATTCCTCTCTAAGCGTAAATGGTCGCTCAAGTAAGGTGATATGGAATGTAAAGGAGTCGCTTTCTAAATCCCACTGAACTCCTAAGGAACGCTGAGTCGGGAGGCTGTTATGACGGAAGTCAAGGTTGCGAACACTTTTCCCTCTGTCGTCCACGGGTATGGCTTCCATAACAGTAATGGAATTTGACACAACCTTGTGTAACCTGAGTTGGGCTGTCGCTAACATGGCTTGTGTGTTCTTCAGTAACTCTATCGTTTCTTGCTCTGTTGCGCGTGAAGTACGGCCGTCGTGAACGTAGAAATCATTGGAAACGAACACACTTGCTGCGGCATCGAACTTCTCCTCGCCGTCTTTGGCCGTCTTTCGCATGCCGAAAGTTAGTATCGCTGGACTTAACACATTCCCGAAAAGATGCACAAGCCTCCAGTACTCCACTACCTCCTTCAAGGGGTCATTGTCTTTGAACCATAGGACTCTCAGATAATCCCTATGTTCGGGGTTGACATAGGAGTGAAACATTTGTTCCACGTCGCAGAGCAGAGCGACATTCTCCTGACGGAAACGGACGAGCACGCCGAGCAGGCTGTTCATTTGGTCTGGACCTGACAAGAGTTCCTTATTTAGAGACACTCCGTGAAATTCTGCCGAGGAATCAAAAACCACGCGGATCTGATCGGGCTTTCTCGGGTGGTACACGGCGAATTGCGGTAGGTACCAGACTTGCTGGCTTCCGTTGACAGCTTTCAGCTCGTCGGGTGGTACTAGGGCGGCATGCCCGCGTTCAAGAATCTTTCCCATAAAGACGAAGTAGTCTCTCTCCAACTGTGCATTTTTCTTGAATGAACGCAATAAGCCATATAAACGACTCACAGCTTGGCTCCGGATGTTAGGTATGACGACGTTGCTTTTACGAAAAGGTAGGGGCATCTCCCAGTTGCCTTGACTGTTCTTGTGGGCCGTGTGACTCATAATTTCTAGGAATTTGTGGTCCTCTTGAGACAGACTGACTTCGTTGTCGTGTGGGGTTGTGCGGTAAACGTCTGGGGCGATCTGTTCCCCTCCGGCATACTCTTCTTTGATCAAGAAGTAATTGGGGCAGGGTGTTGTCATGTAACGTGGGGGGCTTTCTCGTTTTACTGCAAGGTCACGATTTTCGTGGTCGAGGTGTGGTCGATTTGGTTCTGGGATGTTAACTGTGGTTCGGTGAGCTGAGACATGAACAGGGCCTCCAACTCTGTCCAGGCATACTTGACTTGAGAGAGTACCCAAGGTTGAGTTTCTGAGCCCAAGGGGCTTCCTTTGGACCATTTCTAAAGGCTCTAACTTTCAACAACTCCGGTTCATCTCGGCCAATAAGGATTTCAATGTTCGCATTTGGATCCAAGGGTGGGATTTGATCGGCTATCTCCTTCAGATGGGAAAAGTTCCTCGCGATTTCTGGAGTTGGTATCTCGCTTTTGTCACGCGGAATGTGGTCGCATTCTACTAACGTAGGTAACTTAAACAGCTCTCCTCCGATGTACTTCACAAAGACCTCCGTAACTCTACGGCCGTATTTCACCTCCTTTTCGGCACTACAGGTGGACAAAAGAAACTTCTGCTTGTGACAATCAGCTCCTAGCATGTTAGCGAGGTGAGGTGACACCATGGAGGCGTTACTTTGATCGTCGAAGATGGCATATACTCTGTGGACAACGTCTGGCCGTTTCTTCTGAAAGACGTCTACGAGAACGGTTTTGATGCATGACAGTCCTCCATTCCTGGTTTGGCAGATCGATGTGCAAGTTGCTCTTAGTTCCCCGCCGTTATCCTCGGTTGCTGGTTTCCTTTTCTCCGATTGTAGCGGTGTGTCGGGGAGAGTGCTTCCGCATTTCTAGCAGCGGACAAGCGTGTTACAGTCCTTCTCTTGGTGTTCTGGTGAAAGACATTTGAAACAAAGTCCCGCTCTCATAATCCACTCTGTTCTGTCCGCCAGGGTCTTGCGTTCAAGAGCTTTACAGCTTGCTAGGTCATGGCCTCTCTTGTCGTGAAATATAAACAGCGTTTTTCTGTGTTTGGTGCACTACTGGTACTTCCGGCTATGGATTTAGTTTGTGACACGAAGACCTTTGCATTTGGTCTCAACGTTGACTGGCTGTTCTGTACTTCTTAGGGTTTGGTTTCTTAAAGCGTGGTTACTCCTCCTTCCAGGATGTTACGGTGGTTTTTCAGAGTGGCTTGTTTCTGTATCAAAACAGCGAAATCAAATTGACCGAGTGGGTCCCAGGGCCCACTGACAAAAAAAGGCAGCAAAACCCGTAACAGTATGTCTTTTTTTTATGCTGCTCTTCCCTCACTAATCATCTTATTTTATTTATTTATTTTTGCTTTTTCTTTTCTTTCTTTTCTAACTTACTGCCATCTTCAACATAAAATGTAGTAAGCTAACAGAATACTTCTGGTTTATATAGCTCCCTGATTGAAAAAGTAACATTACCATCTTGGTACTTCTAGAAAACAAAATTTTAAAACAACAGATGTTTAAAAAACAAAAGTACTGTAAAATAAAATTTTTATAATAATATAATTTAATCGATTTATGTGAATAAAGCGCTGTATTGTCTTTTCTCATATTGCAACAGCCTTGAATGAACCAACTATCTTCTAAACTTGTTTTCTTATATTCAGAAGCTGCCTGAATTATAAACAAAGAGCTTATGTTAGGTGTTTATGGAGGTGGAAAGAACATAATGATTATGATGATTAATCTTCCAAATTAGAAATGTCAGAGGGAAATTATCAGAAGTATTTCTGAAGTCAAAGTTGTTTGTTAAAAATATTCAGGAGAAAATTGATTAGATTAAGTCAGCTGTCATTTCCCAGTTAACACTAGGTCATGAGGAGTAAACAAAAGCTTGTAATTAGCCTGTATGCTGCTGTGCCCATCCAGTCAAATAAAAATCAGAGATGGGATATTCCCAAACGTAAACAATGATAGCATGATACAAATATCCTTTTCCCAACTTATTACAAGGGAGGGGAGCACTGGTATGGCAGTAGTTGTATATTTACGGGCTCCTCGCCAAAATCTTAATTATAACAAAAAATCCATACCCTTTACCACAAAATTTGACTGAAAAGACTTTTTGCTACATTTTTAAATAGACCGATACCTTAAATAACCCTCATATTTAAATAACCATACTTTTGACAACACGAGTTAAATAAACTTGATTTTTAAATAACAACTTTTTTAAATAACCCTCATATTTAAATAACCACACAAAATTATAGTAAAACTTTTTGACTCAAACCTTGAGTCAAAAAGGGGAGCACGAGGGGCTAGCCCCTTGTAGGAGACTTTGAGAGGTTTAACCTCTCGAAGTTTACCCTCTCCTATAAATCATTTAAAGAAGAATAAAAAAAATAATTAAATAAAAAAAAATTTACTTTGATAAATAAAAATGTCAGAAATGAATTCACAAACAGTGCTTCAATTGAAAGCACTCGCAAAAAATCTTGGATTGAGAGGATATTCACGTTTGAGAAAAGCGGAGCTCATTGAAATGATTGAAGAGTCAACAAATGACGATGTCAGGAGAACGTCAAAGGATGATGTCCAGAGACCCATTGATCTAATTTCTTTCGGAGGAGAGGTGTTGAAACCGATGAATGTTGTTGTTGAGGAGAGAGTGGGTGGAGCATTACTTGATGAACCAATACCTGAAAATGAGGTTGTAAACAAACAGAAAATAATATTAAAACCCACCAAATACACAAAACCTACAAAAGCAACAAAAAAGACAAAAAAGATAGACAAAACTGTTGAATGGGGAAAACAAAAGGTTGAAGATTGGGGAAAATGGTTGAAAGAGGTAGACGCACCCAATGTCGTTATCAATAACAAGATAAAAGATTTCAAAGACACAATCAACGAACTTTACAAACAAAAATGGAATTGACGTTTCAATCTTGTTGAGACCAGCACAACATTAAAAAGGTTTACAAATCACTACACTATTGAAGGAGTTGAGGGATATGAACCCATACCTTTTCTTAACATTGTAAAACCGACCATTCTCAAGTTTTTGAAAACACAGAAAAATATCAAGGTGTTGTTTGTTTTGAGGTGTAATATGTCAAAGACAAATCCCGCAGAAGATGAGGTAAAATTGGATCTTGCATATTTTTTATCACCAGTGGAGGCCATTTTTCAAGAGACCGATCGAGAAGACGTTTATCAGACATGTGTTGAAAAAATGATAGAGAGTTTGGAAACGTTTATACGAAATGGAAGCAATTGGGTTGTCGATTCGGTTGCAGGATTGGATCTGCACACGGTAGAATACAATCCTTTGAAAGGTTCTTCATATATCAAGCTGCCACCAGATATTGCAAAAAAGAATGCCATCGTTAACATGAAAAATGAAGATGATCAATGTTTTAAATGGTGTGTTACAAGAGCTTTAAATCCCGTGGGAAAGAACCATGCTGATCGTGTCACAAAGATTTTAAAAGAGCACGCAAAAAAGCTTGTTTGGACAGGAATTGAGTTTCCAATGGAGGTAAAAGATATTCACCGCTTTGAAAAAATGAATCCAGGTATCACCGTCAACGTTTACATGTACGATTATGAACTCAAAACCTTGAGAG